CGGTGGATGTGTTGGCCGTGTCTTCGCTCAACTGCTGGTGATTACGAAATGTGGACCAAAAATGTGGTACAAGTTCTTCGTTGATGAAAGTGTAGTACAAATCATAGTACCATTCAATGAGTACTTCGACAAAAGACTGTTCCCGAAGTACTCGCAAAGCGTCCGTCAGTTTTGGTAAATAATCATCGCTTTCCTAACCGATGGACACAAACAGACCGTCACTCGTGAGTGTTTACAAGAGCTGATCCGCGAAAAAAAAAGCTTACCTCAAAGTGTGTCAATTGTTTGGACAAATAATCCCAACTTTGGTTCAATAGTTGTGTATTACTCATGAGTTTTGTTGATTTTGTATATAAACTATTGGATCAATTAAAGTGATAATTCATTTAATTAATGCTAAAATAATTAAAAATAATTGAAAAATGAAACAAATATTAAAAACTTTTTTGTATATAATTTTGAAAAACAGATGTTTTTGTGTGAAAAATATTTCATAACAATAACAGTAATAACGTATGGATTGGCATAACATTTGTGTCATACCAGACATCGTTAGGATAGCATACTTTGCGGTACAGCCAAACACTGTCATAACTCCCCTAACATTGCAGTGTCCCCTTTCCAATGCGTGTAGGCTTCACAACATGACAACTTACCAACTATAATAGCAATGCATTTCATGTGCTATGCAGTGAAACATCGCAACCAAAACCTTATGGTAAGAATCGAGAGTGTATTTCGTGACATAACTCACAGAGACTTTTGGTGTGCATTAGTTGTGATGAATTGGTGCCAAAAATACAGCATAACATCACAAGTCAGCCCATTGTGTGACTCCATCGCAATCACCCTGGTAATGCAACACCTAGATTACAATTGCCCTTGGTCATTGCACACATACACTCCCCCACCCCTCCCGACCCCCACGCCATCCCATTTGAGTGACCACTAGTTGTCCGTTAATTGTATTGCCATTCAATTGAAGCCTTGTTTTGCGAAATACAGTATAGGCTTAGGAAAGAGGCGGAGAAGAAGTGGTGGCCATTGTCTGCGCGCAACTGATCCCATCATGTATTGGACGACACACCTGGAGGGCGGACCGAAGCGCGTGAATCACGCGGCCGTATCTGTGGGTCGGTTTGTGTACTCATTTGGCGGTTACTGTACGGGCGATAACTACGGCCTCTTGAAGCCCATCGACTGTCATATTCTGGACACAGGTTTGACCACTCATTTAGANTTGGATCGCCGACTGTCTCTGTTCTCGCAGTGAGTCTTCACTCCCTATTCACACACTTTCTCTCAAGCGTTGTCTTCTTCTCGAACCACTTCTTCGTATTCGTCTGACTCTCTGTCGACACTATCTCTCGAAGTCGTCGACCGTTCGCTTCCGATAATCGTTTCCAACCAAACCTAACCATCAAAACGAGAAAAAGACATTTAAATACAAATTACACCAAAAGTAAAACTCCAATAAATTAATGATAAAAAATAAACGCATTTCAATGACAAGACATATATAAACAATGGTATCGATTGTCTCACAAAAACATATTCAAATGTAAAACACAAACCAATGGATAAAATGGTTGCAAACAATCGCTAAATGAGTCAACAATTGTTGTCTTGAAAAGCAATGCAAACACTAAATAACACAACAATTAATAGCAATCAAAACAACAATCAATTGAGTCAATGCAATAGCGGGTGAGAGTGAGTGAGTGTGAGGTGTGAATGAGTGCCACAATAGTGTAGAGCACTGGTAGTCACAGGCAGTGCTCACTCTCTCTCACACACAGCCTATCGGGCAATGACTCAATCGAAGGCTCGAGAGTTGCAGTGTTTGGGCGGTCGAGCGCTCAGTGCGAGCGCCGATCGACAGGCAGTGAGCGCTCGCTCTATGCGTCGCTCCGATGGGCACCGGCTTTGAGACACTCACTGCCTATAACTCAGACACTCATTGCCTAACGCTATAGACATACAAAACACACAATGGCTGGTCGTGTACGCGATGGTGGGGTCGGGAGTGGATGTGCTATACCTTAATGTCAATCGATGGTCAAGTGTTGGTCTCCGTCGGCGTATAGCGAGTGGTATTGAGTGTCCAAACGGTGTGTCTGTCTGTATAGGAGTCACACTTCACTCCGACATTACGTTCATTGCATTCAACGCTCAAAACAGGCGTTCACTCCAACCAAACGGCGTCACACATCAGCACAACTGCGCGTGCGTTCACTCAACCCATTCACACATCGCGTTACCCAACACTCCAGTCGCCCCCCATTCGCGCCCCCAAACATTGCGCCAAACACCCGGCGGTCATTTAAATGGCCAGTTGTTAGTTAATTACATGACAATTTACCATTATTGATCACTCAGTTGACATACAGTGTAGGTAATGTAGGTTAATCACAAAAACAAAGTTAATATTACCGGTAGTTTGTTTTTATTGAGATGTTTTATACAAATTCTGGTATTAATATTGAAATTGATTTAAAGTTAATTCAATCAAATAAAATAGATTTTGAATCAATAATTGGTGTGAAATAAACTAAAACCATTAATGTTAAACACAATGCAAATTCAATACAATATAACAACTCATTATTAAATTAAATACTGTTTTATTGAGTAATAATTTGTTTTTAATAATTATGGTTAAAATATAATGATTTCGATTAAATCGCAAATAATTTGAGTAAAAATGTTTGGGACACAAAGTGAGCGCTTAATTGGCGTCATTGAGTTTGTACTGTCCGTTAGAGTAAATCAATTTTTGTTCCTTTACTTTGGACTCCAAGAACTGCCGCAACTCATGAGTTGTCAACTCATTGGCGTTCGTCGACGAGATGGCAAACATCTGGAGCATCTGATGGATGCGCTCGAGTGTCAGCGAATTCAAGTTCTGCAACATATTCAACACAAAACTCCAATAGACTGACAGCTTCTCCTCCCTCTCGTCCACCGCAGAGGCGGCCATCTTATCGTTGGCCAAGTCTTCGTCGAAGTCGTTCTCGACGGCCATGTGATGGCCGCTATCAGTGGCGGCAGTCGTATGGCTGGACATTATGCGGTCGTCTTCGACGAGAACGAACCGATCGGTTGCCGTCTCTTTCAAAATGCCTTTGTTTTGCCACAAAGCGATCCGTCGGCGCAATATTGACGGCGGGATTGCCATCACTTCACACAATTCGGTGATTGTCCAGCACTGACGCGACTGGAAGTGCCATATGATAGTGGCCTGAATCGGTGCCACTGAATACAACAGCTTTCGGCCGCCAAAGTCCAGCTCCAACTGCACTAAACCCAAGTGTGACATCCAGTTCAACGTTCGCGAGCCTTTGATCGTCTCGAAAGCCTTGGTGTAGACATCGGTTCCGATCTCCACTTCTGGCGGCAGTTTGAGTCCACTCAAGTCATCGATGGCGGGCAGACCCAGCTTTTCGGGCCAGAACTGAGCCGACAATATGAGCGAATTGATGGGAAACGTGTCAATCCTATGCGCCTCTATTTCACCCGAATTGATCCGTTGATTAATCCTTTCCGACTCTTTCACGTCTTTGAGCATCACTTCGCACGCGTGAAGATCCGATTCGCCGAACCGGAGGGTCAGTAGTTCCAGATTTCTGCGCTCGTGTTCCAGATTGCACTCAAAGTTAGTCAACAGTCTCTGAGCCAACAGTCGCTGGTATTCCTCAACGAAGAGGTCTTTACTCTCATAGATGTTGACCAGAATGGAGACGATGTCTGAACTGCGCAACGACTTGGAACTGCCACCGCTTCCACCGTTGGCGGCCATGTCCTGCACGGCGTCGATGGGGTCGGGCACCCAGTGCTGCCAATTGTCGCCAATGATAGTCTCGTCGTCGCTGTTGTAGTTGTTGTCATCGCCGGCCACTGCGGGAACGGCTCCCTTCACGAACTCAGGGGTCAACTCGGATGATGTCTCGTCTGTGAGCGCAGTTATTATGCACCGAACCGTATCGTCCCGTGACTTAAGATACTTGCGGACGGGTTCGCACACCAGTTGAAGGACAACACCGGTCGGGTCGAGCACTCGGAGCGCTTTGATGGCCGATATGTAAGCGTCGAGAATATCGCTGGTACTGACGCCCGGATGCAAAAGTCTGGTCTCCAGTGACTCTTTGAGAGTACGGATCAGTTTTGGCCGAAAATTTGCGCACTTTTCCAGACACTCGCGTAAGTCGATCAGCGATGGCTCCGATTCCGGGTATTCAATGATAATGTCAAACATCTGTTCCATTCGGCAGTTGGCGTACGTCTCGTACAAGAAGTGTGTCAGCCGTTCCTCTAAGTTGGACAGACTGTTGCCAAACGAAGACATTTCGTACACAAATCGGACCCAATTGATGACCGTATTGTCGATCCAATTCTTCAGATTACAAACGTCTCGTACAAGAAGTGTGTCAGCCGTTCCTCTAAGTTGGACAGACTGTTGCCAAACGAAGACATTTCGTACACAAATCGGACCCAATTGATGACCGTATTGTCGATCCAATTCTTCAGATTACAGATACACGAGACCTCAAAATTGCCTGAATATCAATCATAATAGTCAACAATTATTCTTCCAGTTATAGCCATTAAGTGGTCAATCAATTCATACCTTTACAGCTCTCGTAGATATGTTTCTCAATACATGTATGCATTACGGATGTGATGGCGTCTCCAGAGATCACTTCAATCAATGATAATTCACTCAATTGTTGATTGAATTTAAGAAAGTCTTCGCTAATCGATTGACACAAGCAATCGTTGGTCTGTTGACAACAACCGCCGCATTTGGTGTCCATTTCAATCATATCAACGGAACCGTTGAGTTCACACGAATTGTTTGCCCTATTCTTCTGGTACTGATTGACGGCAAACGCCAACGAATATGCGCTCAGAAGGTATTGATTGAAACAAATGGGAATCTCTGCCAACAGTATTGACCGCAACAGTGACTTCATTTTCATCTGCATTTCGACGTACTGTTGATAATTGCCATTCGTGTCAAACACACGACTCAACACCACATTATTGATCCACTTGTTTGCCGACACAAACAGATGATCGGCGGTCGAGAATAGTATGGCATGAGTGGTGCCGGCGGTGGATGTGTTGGCCGTGTCTTCGCTCA